TTTGGTTCAGGTTTGCTTTCTTTTACTGTAAGATAGGTTCAAACCATGAATTTGCGAGATGCCCATTCATTGTTTGATTTTGTTGGAGTTCTTTTCCGAAGACTTGTGGTTACTTAAACAGATCATGAATCAATGTACCAAGAAATGTTAAAGTTGTCTTACTAGAGAATCAGTAATTGCAATTTAAGATTAATCCTCATAACTGTTGGGAGAAGTGTGATTGTAGATCAAGAGATGAGTTAAAGCCTAATTAATATGTCCTCTGTTAAGCCAGTAAGTCAGAAGGCTATGACTGTTGGTGACCAGATGGCAACTCAAAATTGCAAGAAAATGAAGACATTAGTTGCAATTTCCTAGAATTCTTAGTATTAGCAAACAAGCAACCAGTGAGATGTGTCACCATGTTTTGTGGGTCAATTTTTGTAAATCACACCCTTTTTGTGTACATGACTTGCTGTGCTTTTGTTGCCAACTTTTGCCCACATCATACCTGTTTGGCTTTGTACTCACCTTAGCAGATGACCAAAAAGAAGTTCAGGCAGGTGTCATAGCTCTCTAAAATTGAACAGAAACTCAACTGGGAAGGGTACGAGACAAGTCCAAGCTGTTGTAACGCTGAGACTATTTTGAGGGAAAATTTGTTGCACAATTTTTGATTCAAAATTAAGAAGCCAACCCTAATTATAGACTTTATCAAAAAGGAAAGTCTTAAGCCCAGTCTTAAAACTGGACAATATGTCAGCCTTACGGACAGAAACTGGAAGTTGGTTCCACAAGAGAGGAGCCTGATAACTGAAAGATCTTCCTCCCATTCTGCTTTTGGAAACGCTAGGAACCGCAAGTAAGCCTGCAGTCTGAGAGCGAGGTGCTATGTTAGGAAAATATGGAACAATAAGATCTCTAAAATAAGATGAAGCTAGGTTGTTGAGGGCTTTTGTAGGTTAGAAGTAAGATTTTGAATTCAATTCTGGATTTGCCAGAGAGCCAATGGAGAGAAGCTAAAACTGGAGAGATATGATCTCTCCCACTAACTCCAGTTAAGACTCATTTTTAGATAAGGTGTTTCTAATTTGAGTGATATTATGCCGAAACACGTGAGAACAAGGTTTAGACTTTACAAATCTCAAGGATTAGTAAAGTGACTAGGAACACATCTACTGGTAGGCAGATAATGCACCAGCGTCCAAGTGAATTCATCAGCTGCCATTTATATTCCTAAAGCTCATTAAGAGAATGGACCACAGGTGTGTGCTTGTTGGTGCCATCTGGTGTTGAGGTGCTGTAGGAGAAAAACTGGAACTCCCACATCTGCACGTCTCTGCAAAATCATTGGGGGAAATTGAGAATTCATGCAAATGTTTGGAAACATACTTGTCAAATGCTGTTCACCGACTACCTGTAGTCGCTAACGGTCACCATCTAATGACATACCTGCTTTGGTTAAAAATAATTTGCAAGACAGCAAAAACATGTTGTACAGTGACTCGTTAATCTAATTTTTCTCTCCCCCTCTCTCTCTGAGTGGTGGGGGTTGAGATCAGCTGTCAACTTTTACAATCCTTGTGCTCTGGAAAAAAAAAATAGTTTCAATCCTCTGTCCAAAACACTAATGAGAAGCACTCACTGGAAGGGAGGGAGGAGGTGGATGAAGGTCATGGTGGCAGTGTTGGTGATAATGGGTGATGGTGTGTGTGTGTGTGTGTGTGTGGGGGGGGGGGGGGGGGTCTTTGATGGATGACAGAGGAAGGAAGCGAGATGTCTGCCTCTCTGTATCCTCACCCTGCCATGACCTGAAATGCCTTTTGAGAAGAACTGCAAACATGTGCCTCCCTCAGCATTCCTCAGGAAAAGCTATGTAAAGCCATAGATGAAAAGGGGAAGGGAAAAAAAAACACCTGGGGGTGAGCATAAGGCAGCTGTGTTAGCGTGCATATCAGCAGCAGCTGATGAATTAATGAGCCACGGGAAGCTACAGAAGTTTCTTTTAGTCAATGGTGGCAGTATTTGTGAATGAGAGAGATGCTGTAGCATGCTCAGACAAATTCAGATTTGATCTCAGACTAACGCTTACATGTCGCTATAAATGCATAAACAGTTCTTACAAAGTCAGATTTATGGCTTAAGCTTATAACAACATCTCTAATTCTGTGCCAATAAGGAAACTGGAAATAAATCAGTTTGAGGGCTCATGTATTATTTTGCATTACTCTCTTCTGTGTCCTGGATCTCACTGCAGAGTCACAAGGTGAGGCTGTTCTCATACAGAGCATCTAAAAAAATAGGAATGTCGTGAAAAAGTTCAATTTTTTTGTCAGTCATTTTAGATAGTTAAACTCACGTGTTATATAAATCCATTACACATAGAGTGAACTATTTCAAGTCTTTATTTTTTGTAATTTTGATGATTATGGTTCACAAATAATGAAAAGCAAAAATTCAGTGTCTCTGAAAATGAGAACATTGTGAAGAGGTTCAATATTGTAAACTCTTGGTGTCACACCCTAATCAGCTGATTAGCTCCTAGACATGAGCTACAAATGTCTCATTCCTCAAGTCAAACCACTCCTGAACCAAAGGTGACATCAGAAGCATCTTACCTGGCGGAGGAGAAAAAGAACTGGACCGTTGCTCAGTGGTCCAACGCCCTATTTTCACATGAAAGAAAATGTTCATGTCATTTGGAAATCAAGGTCCCAGAGTCTGGAGGAAGAGAGGAGATGTGCAGAATCCACGTTGCTTGAAGTCCAGAGTGAAGTTTCCACTGTCAGTGATGGTTTGGGTCCAAGTCCTCTGCTGGTGTTGGTCCACTGTGTTTTCTGAAGTTCACAGTCAACGCAGCATCTACCAGGACATTTTAGAGACTTCATGCTTCCTTCTGCTGACGAGCTTTATGAAGATGATTTCATTTTCCAGCAGGAATTAGGTCCTGCCCACACTGACAAAAGTACCAAAAGCTGTGTTCTAATATGAGATGCTGAATTTTGTTTTTTTCATTATTTGTTTGACATAATCATCAAAATTAGAGGAAATAAAGGCTTGAAGTATTTCACTCTATGTGTAATGAATCTATGTAATATGGTAAACGGACTGTATTTATATAGCACCTTTCTATCTTATCAAGATACTCAAAGCTCTTTACACTACAATCTGTGTCCTCATTTACACATTCATACAGCACTCTACTAGATCTATACAAAGACTAATCAGTTCTTTTAGATCACATTCATACATTGATGGGACACACATCGAAGGCAATGGGGGATTCAGTGTTTTGCCCTGGGACACTTCAGCATATGACTGCTGGTGGAATCGAACCCCCAACTCTCACATTGGAGCGTGACTGCTCTAACCACTCGGCCACAGCTGCCCATATGAGTTTCACTTTCTGAAATGAGCAACAATAAAATATAACTTTTTCATGATTTCCAATTTTTTGAGATGCAACATTTCTTCTTTTTAGTTTATTTTAACTCCGATATCCAAACATACTCTCTTCTATTTGCAACCTGAATGTATTACGGTACATACGTGGAGCCCAGCACATCTCTCAGGCTCCAAAGAAAGAAAAAGGCCGTTGTTTGAGTCCTGGGCCTGGATTAGGAAAGTGGGCTGAAGGCGATCACAGACCCTCAGTGGGGGAACAAGCCCGACTGAGCTCCGTTGTTCCCCAATAAAACAGTTTCAGTGTTCACCAGTACCAAATGAACAAACTACAACTTTTTTCACATTATCTTCACGCACAGTGCTGCAGAATTATATGCTTTATTCTTTGTTGGACGAGCTTAGAGGACTGGGGCAGCTGCTGGGGTTTATATGAGGGTCTTGTGCTGTCCTTCCACACTTTGTTAGGCTGTTCTTTCTGCAGGGTCTGGTTATTGAAGGGACCTAGAAAAAACACAGTATGTCAGTCAAAGCTAGATTTCAACTAAGGGTGCACATGTTAACGTTTCACGCAGTAGTTAACACTTTTGTTAGCGGATAAGTTCTTGGTTTTGCGTTTAAAATTTTTATTTACAAAATCTATGATGGTTGCATGTTCACTTATTTTCTATACCAGCTTATTCCTGTTCAGGGTTAGATGTGTTTTTTCATATCTTCAGTGGTCATCTAAGGTAGTTGCATTTGTCACTTAAAGCAGAAGTTCGTTGATCTGTTTAATTCAGTTGAACAGTCGTAAAACATGCCTGACAACATTCTGAGGTCAGGTCGAAGGCCTTTTCTGTAGCTACAACTCTGACCCTGATAAAGGCTGATGCCTCATGTGACATCCATGCTGATAAATAACTTATCACCATTATTTTAACAAGGAACAAGTCCTGCTTTCTGACTAGGCTGTGAATAAAAATTAAGTTTCTTGTTGCTGTTTGGCCTTTACGGTAGCACTACGGGTAGCGGGAAGGAATTAAATGAAATGTTTATTTAAAAGAGATGAAACATTATGTTTAATTTTAACCTTTTTTTTTTCTCAATACAAAAATTAATCTCACAGGACTTTGCAGGATTTCCATCTTCTAAAAACTATAAAAGTAAATAATTTTAAAAAGTTTTGATGCTCATCCACAACTTAGAATACTGCTGTTAAATGGTTTAACGCTGCCATGTAAAGCCTTGAAAGGATCCTTAACTGTCTTCTGGATCTATGTAAGAGGTGTGTCGCCTTCTTTGGCTCTCGTGTTCCTAAACTAGCCTAACTCTGGTTGTTTAAGCAATCTTAGCTTTGAATGCAAGCCCTAAACAGATATTACAGACGAACCTATCACTTGTTTCCATCTGTATTTGGTTTGCTTTGGACATCCGGTTAAAGCTGAAGTTATCGAACAGTTGGAGAATTGTTCTTATATTACTGTCAGGAGGTATTTTGATGTTTTTGAGCCTGGGTATGTTGTTCCATGATCATTTTAAAACAACCCCCTACAGTCTATAAGTGCTGAATTAAAGCAATAACTTTGCATTTGAATCATAATCTTCAGTTGAACAGTTTTCCATTTCTGCTGTTGCAGGTGAATCTACGTATCTGGATGACCACGGACACCCTGTTCCTAGAGTGAGTGCTCTTCTGTCTTGTCCTCCTTTTTTAAGTGCCAATCTTTTTCCCAGGCTCTGCACCTCTGATGTGCTGCTCTTCAGTCGGAGCCAGTTAACTCCAGTCAAGTTAAGGGTGAGGTTTGTGTGAAGGATGCAGATTCTCTCAAAACGCAAGCTTCAGAGCTACAGTGCAGCTTTAACACACACAGTCAGGGCGAGCTGACACAGGGTCTTTGTATCCGCCCAGCTGCATGTCTGCAGGACTATCTTATCTTCTGAGCTCTTTTTCTCTCTGTTCAACTGCTTTCTTCATCACTCTGTCTCTTGTTTTTGTCAGCCTCTTTTTTTTTTATCATTGCCTTCACTTCTTCTGTTTATACCTGTTATTTCACTGTTAGCATGTAGCTTATTGCTAACAGAGGGGAGCAAAAATGAGTTTTGTTTATAGTCCATGGGAACATAAGTTTAATTTTATTATTTATATATATTCAAATAAATTATTTGAAAAAATAAAAATAAAAAATACATACACACACA